AAATTTCAAGTCTTTGAGTGAAGCGTACGAGATACGATATGAATACGACATGAAGACTTGAGAATGAGTCACGTTACGAACGATCACACTTAACCCGATGTCCAATTTTACTTGGTGTGATCAGTCTCATGCCCGAGCTTAGCATGTAAGGGACGTCACAAAGGACTAGTTGGAAAGAGCATGGAATCTACTTTGCCATGATTCAAAACTTGAATGGGAAAGTTGAATGAGGTGCGCCAAATTTAGTTCTAGAATTAAAAGAGCCACCTTTATTTTCAGTGAAGTGAAGTTGGACTAGTGAAATTCGACGATATAGAGTAAACAGAGGAGTAGTGGACCTCTCCTAAGTTTTTATTCCTGTAAGATGCAGAAAAAGCCTCAGTTGGTATCTTCCTTTATGTTATGTTGGTATCTTCCTTTATGCATAAGTTTTCCCTTTGAAAAACTTAGAGACAATATAGTAACCACAAAATATACTTGATGCTGCTGGCTTTGTTAGCCCTTGAGGGGAACATTACTTCTTAATGCTAACATAAGGGAAGATTCCAACTGAAGCGTTTCTTCATTTTATAGGAATAAAAACTTAGGCGTGATTCACTACTATTGAACTTTCATCACTACTATCGGATTCACTTATCTATAAGTACAGCTATGTTTACATACTCTGCCACTACCTCGTCAATAACTTGTTCCCGTCCACACCCCTTGTTGCAGGGGTAATATATCTCCCGTATCCCCCGCTATTGGTAATCCTACCTTGCTGAAGCAGAACTGATGCACGAGGTGGACTTGGAGCACCGCCGTCGCTTCGGCCGGATGTGGGGAGGATACGAAGGCCGCCGTCCCGTTCTCTTCACGACCGATACCGATTTAATCAAATTGATCACTGTCAAGGAGTTCTCATCCTTCTCCAAACGGAGATTTTACGACGTCCAGCAGGAAATATTCCGGAACTGCATATTCATCTTACAGGCATAGCCCTTCTTCATGTGTTCATCTAAATTATATATTGTATCTATACTAGACCACACCCGCGTCCTGCGGTATCCACTTCGCAGGCAACAAATTTTCAGCATATATTAAAAACTCACGGTTAGGTTTTAATTAGAGTTAAGAGAAAACACGTTATATGACCTCTCCTTCATAGTTGGGTGATTCCATTATCTGCGTACTATAATTTGCATTGTAATTAAGATCCTATTTAGGCGTCTGTGTACGTCTGCATCCACATCCACATGCGCATGTGCGGCGCCGTCGCCCATGCTTCGTCTGTCTCGCCTTTCTTTCCGGCCTTCGCGGCTGTGGGGTAAGTTCTCGAGAATGGGAGAAAGCGGCTCCTGCATGGAGAGTTGAGAAGGCCGCTCACTGAACTCGTGAATTCCCGACATTGCACAGTGGTTCAGAATGCGTCTAAACCTGGCCATGAGTCGAAAAATGAAGTTTTAATAATTGCGAAAAAATCTGATTAATTTAAATCAGAGGTATCCATGTAGCACTAAAACAACAAAATTTCGGAGTTTCTCCTTACCCAATTGACGAAGTATTAATAATTTCCTGAAGTGTTGGAAACTTCATGACAGGCGTAGGAATCGTTTTGTAGTAGTCGGTTTCCTAGTTTTTAGTTCCCAGTTTTAAAATAAAATAACCATTTCATAGTAAGAAAATGAAATTTATTTTGACGGAAGGTGCCTTCTTAAGTAAGTGCCTTCTTTTCTATTAGTTGTTCGCCTTGTGAAACATTAGATTTGTTCATGAACTGGTCAATCATGAAACTCATTTTTTTAAACTGCAATTTTTGTGCTGACCTGGAAACTTGTTCACCGGAAATTTGTGTGCCAATAGCTACCAATGATTTACTTTCCTAAAATAAGTTTCACATACGTATGTTATCCAGTCATGATAGTCCTAGCCGCCCGTTTTTGCCCGGCTAATATCATGTTGCCATCTGCAACGTCGTTTCATATGAGGACATATTGTCAATATAAACTAATTTCTGGACAAATCTGATTTTTCACAAGGGTAACAACTAATATAAATCACTTATTCACCTCACAGGAGACAGCACGGATTATGAGGAATATAGGAGCGGGCGTTGAAGCGGGAAATTAGATCTGCAAGACGGGAGGTCGAGGAACGGCTGGCTAGCGATGCTAAGAAGAACCCTAAGGCTTTTTATCGGTATGTTAGTGGTAGGTGTCAACGGTCGATCGGGCCGCTAATGAACGAAAAGAGGGAGTCGACTGCAAGTGATAGGGATATGGCCAGTANGACCGCTTCTTTTTTTGGTTTACATAAACGATTTGGATCTCGGCGTAGAGGGTAAGATAAGTAAATTTGCCGACGACACCAAGATAGGTTTTACCATAAGGGGGGAGGCGGATAGGGCTAGAGCCGAGCGAGATTTAAGTCTTTTGGACGACTGGAGCAAGAAATGGCTCATGAGGTTTAATAAAACTAAGTGTAAAGTTCCCCACGTCGGCCGAAACAACGGTAGGTCTCTCGACACGTTCGGCGATGTTAAATTGGATGAGGCAAACGGGGAAAGAGATTTAGGAGTTTCTATCGATGAGGACCTCAAGTTTTCCACGCACGCGCAAGCGACATTGGCCAAATGCAATAGGATTCTAGGTTACATTCGTCGGTCGGTTGCAAGTAGGACATCTCGCATTATTCTTCCGTTGTATGTGGCGCTGATAAGACCCCAGTTGGAATATTGCATCCAGTTTTGGAGTCCTACAAATAAGGGCGATTTGTTGGCGCTCGAGGGAGTACAGAGGAGGGCCACAAGAATGATTCAGGAGGTTAGGTTAGAAGCGTTTAGAAGTGTTGGGACTGTACTCGCTCGAACGAAGGCTAAGGAGGGGCGATCTCATCCAGGCTTTCAAGATAATTAAAGGAATAGATAATCTCGAGTGTGGCAGGTTTTTTCAGTTTGATGGCAGCAAGAGAACGAGAGGTAACCAACTTAAGTTGTGCAAACCGCAGGTGCGGCTCAGGTCGAGACAGGAATTCTTTAGAATTCTTTAGAATTGCAGAGTGGTGAACGCGTGGAATGCGTTAATGACGAAGTAGTGGCTGACTATCTTTAAGAAGAAACTGGATGCTTTCATGGACAGGCAAAAAGCTGGGGGGCAATGTTGACGTTAGGTACTAGACAGTAAGCAACAAAAAAAAAATACAAATATATTTAGCTTGAAGAGGGTTAGGCCTACCCTAAAATTAAGGAACGCTCGGCCTCGACACGTGATATCGAAATAGGCAAAATCGCCTCTTGATGTCACTATCATGAATCTTTAACCTTGAATCTTGAATTGAGTTGTGCCAAGGGGACCTCGGAAGGCGTGACCCTAAGTCCGATTTTTGGATGTGGATTGACGTGGTCCTGCACCTCAATGATGATATAAGAGACAAATACCTTTTTTCCGAGAAGGTTATCTTTCAATAACTAAGTCACTTCCCTACCACGGCTAGAAGAGCTCGCAACTCTCAACATTTTCGCAACCAACACCATCCGTGCCGATAGACTGCAGTCAAGTTTCCTACCGAGAAAGACACGAGGAGAAAGGAGCGTGGCAAATCGGCAATGGTCTCAACATGGAAAAAAATCTAGGTCATTTCTCAAACTGAAGTGCAGGGCCATAGTTAGGACTCCCCAAGAGGTCTTGCATGCCAGGTCGTGGCATCGCACGCCGTGTCTCTGAAAGATAAAACAAAATACAAACGCGTACAATTATATTTATTAATATGGAAAGTTTTCATACTATGTATGGAAAATCTATTACTCATTTTCCAGTCTTGCAAATGAGTTAACACGTGAAACTGCCGAACAATTGCGGACCTCTTATTGAGCTTTTCGAAATCTCTATATATGTCATCAAAAGCGGAAGTGCATGGTGTTCCCTGTAGTCGTCAGAATTGTTTTTGGTTCTGTGATTTCATTCATCAAACTGAAATAGAAAAAGATCAATAGACCTGAATTCATATACGATCATAATTCATGCACGAAAGGTTAACTTTGGGATCAATAGACGTCATTTTTGCTCTGAATCAAATTTTGTTCGGATTTTCAACCAAGCTCTCAACACATGTCTTCCGGTCACATGGATGGGTGGTTGCTTTTCATCGTATGAAATAAATAAATAAATACATATTTTTGGAAGGCAGTCCTTAAACTGTGCAAAGTTTACACTTTGATGTTTGAATGCTCAGTTAGAGTTGGCTTGTGAATGATCTTTATTTTGCCTGAAGAACATATGACGCCATTTGATGTCATTGGGCGACATCAATACATAAATAAGCTTATGCATATACAGAGTCGCCAAAAACAACCTGGACCTTGTCTTTCAAAATTTTATGAATTATGTGCATTTGAATTGTTACACTTAGAGCGAGGAAGTTCTCCGCAGGTTTCATGGCGTTCGGTGATGTCTGCCTCCGTGAAAAATTCAGCATTCCCAAAGTGAATCCAAAGTTAGGATGAATGCAAAGTATTATCAAGAGAATGTTTTAGCACTCTTGCTTGGAGGATAAATCCCTCGCACGCGTGGAAGTGATATTCCAAAAGTAGTGCTTCACCGAGACAAGATATCAAGCCACACTCCCAAATCCACAGGCTCGTTCCCACATAATTTGGATTACTGTGTCCCTAACGAGATTATATTGAGCGTTCAGAAGATTATCTGTTTTGTTTTCAGAAAGCTATTTTTTCTTTGCCATCCAAATTTAATGTCTTCTTGTCTTGTCATGTTCATTTAATAGTCAATGTTGCTTGAATGAGAAACGTGCTTTTCGCTTAGATATGTATGTTCTTTTTATTGGAAACGTTTCGATCACTGAAATTCTGAAAAGCAACCTTCCACTTTTAACGAGAGTGTATACAAAATTAATGAACATTCCTGTCTAATCCGTCCATGTGAGCCTATACCTAGGAAACCGGATAATGCGCGCAAAGATCGATCAATTTCACTCAAAATGCACGCTTCAATTAGAGCGAATATCTCTGGTGGTGTTAGTGGATCCCAGATCAAATTGGCGAGTATGCTCCTAGGGTGTACCAAGGAAGAGAAGCCGTCTGTTATCCGTTTTTGTGGGCAAATAGTGTTGAACCAGTGGATATTCCGAAACATTTGTTTCTGAATATCCACTGGTTTAACTGGAAGGTGAGGGAAATCAACCTGGCTCAAAATACATGCAAGTGAATGGATAGGTGGATTTCCATTGGGGGGACGTACACCTTCTTCCAGACCCACCCCCTATCCACCTGGGTGTTTGACCAGGTAGATAGGGGATGGACATTTTGCAAGGAAAAGCTGTCATGCTTGGACGTCCTGATCGATTGCCATTAAGATTCTTTCGTCCATTTCGGAACCGTTCTATACATTCATACATTTTTCGTTGTCATAAACTATACACCATGCTGAGCTAACATTCGTTTCTGAATATCCGCCGATTTAACACCTTTTGCCCACAGAAACGGATAACAAACGGCTTCACTTCCATAGTACACACAGGGAGCATACAGGCCAGGTTGATTTGGGGTCCACCAGCGACATTCGCCCTGACTAAAGTGCGCAGCGAAATTGATCTGCTCTTGCGCACAACGTACGGTTTCCTAGGGATAGGCTCACATTGACAGCTCAGACAGGAATAGTTGTTACTTTTTAAAACATCCTCGTGTATGAAGTCTTCCACTGGCAAACTCCTTTAGGGTGTCCTCGTACTCTTCTTCCTTACTGACAATGCTAAATTCAATGCCTCAAATCATTGATTTTTGAGAGCCAAGGGTGAGTTTGAAATCCAAATTTGGAGTACTGGGAGACTGCATAAAAAAGTTAAATTCTCGATGAATGGGTGATAAACATTGGTAAGAGGGAATAAAGGTAAGTGGTAAGATGGTTATTGCGAATTGGTGGAGTCACAAGGGATGAGGAAAAGCCCTTCATGAAGTGAATAGGTATAATTAATGGAGAGGCCGGAAGCCGAGGACGATGTTAATCGGTTGAATGGCGACTCGGTAACCAGGGTGGAATTCCGGCTTCTCTGGGGTCTCCGGCGTTCTCACTATCTCCATCTCCCTCAGAATGTGGACCATGGCGTAATGGACGATCTCTTGCGAGAGCCTGTTCGCACCGGCCAAGTACAGAGAAATTAGGCTACGAATACATGCACCATGTGCCACTTTGTAACAACTGCCAAACCCATGCACATATTGCCTCAATGCTATGGTGTCGTATGGGAAGTTGAATTTATAAAACAAAGGATACTTGGAATCAGTTAGGATTGCATCAAGCGACATTCTGCTGTCAGCTTCTTACGAATAATTTCATTGCCATGCTTATTTTTAAGTTTTATTCCTGCTATTTCTTATTATCCTCCTAATAATCATTATTTCACTGAATGCTTTCTTCATAGTATTATTGTGATGATTCTATTTAACCTGACTAGTTCAAAGTGTTTCTAATGCGACCGTGAAACAGATGCATGGAATATTTAGACCTCTGTCCAATGCATATGCGTGGACCGCTACCGAAGGGAAGATATGCATAGGGATCGTGGGTTTTGTTCCCCTCCAGAAATCGTTCAGGTTTCCATTCTTCAGGGTCCGGGAATTCCTCTGGTTCACGATGAAGAGCATACAGAGGTATCTGGATCACGGCACCCTTGGGGATGACGATGTTCTTGTAACTGAAAAATAAGTGAATATCTTACTCTAAGAGGATTCTTCAACGCATGGAGGGTATGGTAATGACCGTGCCCGTACGAAGAATAAATGCAAGTGGGGGGGAAATTAATATAAGGAAGCATACTCTCTCAAAATACTTAATACATGCTGTTATATTGAGTTTTTCCCCCATATATTTTCTGTCTGGTGGAAAATCTGCTCCTCACTGGCTTATATGTGGGGTGCCACAGTTGGCCCAATTAAGGGGCCAATTAATTACCCTTCGACTTTGGCTGGCTGGAAGAAAACTCTCTCGGATTCCTAAACGCTTAGTCCCATAATATGAACCTCATAACATTGTCATCCGCTCATTGATCTGCTTCTAATGCTGGTACTTATAAGCACCGCACCAAGTACTAACTAGTACTTGATCTCAGTATCTCATAAATGGCAAGATCGATTCCAAAATCCCAAGGTTATGCCACGGAGAAGGTCACTAGTGTAACGGATTGGCAAACGAATGTAAAACATTTTGCCCGTTTTCATGATATTTGAGCCAAAAGTTTGCGCCATAGAGGTCCATTATAATGGTTTCCCTGCACCTCCAAAAAATAGATGACAGGTTTGTCTCACGCAAGCAAAACAGGGGCAGCATGAAGAGAGCTCCACCTTCCTCGACCCTTATTGACCAGTTTTCCAGAATTTCTTTATCCTTTATCCATTATCCTCTGAGAATGGTTCAGTGGCCTCTCTTCCAATCCTTTCCCTCTTTAAAAAAAAAGGGGAAAATGGAAGGCCACGTAGTTATGAGATATAGACCGATCAGCGCGGATGTCTTACAACTGTTTCATACGTAAGATGACCGCAGAAGATGATTACACTTATATCCTTTTTTGGGGGGTTATGTCTATTCGGCTTCACGGTAGACTCGCAAATCTTGACGGAGAAGAAAATGGCTTATACGAGAGGCACATCGGAAATTTTAGCCAAATTGCGTTAAATATCCATTGATCCTAATAAAATGTGTTGGGCTTATTTTTCTGGGATTCAATAAGATTCTTTGATTTTTTGGAAATCGTTTGCCAGCATGGCGAGGCGTAGCGAAAGTCCAAAAGAGGTCATCCCCCAGGACATATGACTTTGACCAAGATAGATCTGCGAGTGGTGATTTGGAATGGTTTCTGAAGGTGGCTAAAAAATTGGAAACACTGTTTTGAAGAGATGAAATCATCCCAGCGTGATCTTGCCCCCACCACACACATTTTGAAGCTCCTTTATTGAATTTCTGCAGCATTTTTGCAGGAATTTATTCGAAGCATTTTTGGCACTACGAGGATTGGGAACCCAACAATAAAAAATTCCTACCCCCAAACATTTTTAATTAATTTTTTTCATGCCGCCGCTCCAGTCACAAGGGCCTCCTCTGTGACAGCATGTCACATTTCGTTCTTCAATCATTGGAAGGGGCTAGACCGCCTAGTTATGATTTCATCTCTGCAAGACACTGTTAAGCAGTTAGACGCCTTTGAAACCATGGTAAATCAGCACCTGCTGATTTCCCTTGACCAGAGTGGATGACCTGCGGGGGAGGGGGAGGGGGGGACCCTTATTGGTCTTATGCTACGAACGTTTTATTTTGATCAAAACATTTTGGTATAGAAAAAAAAGTATAAAAAATCACTTAATCCTCTTGAATCCCGAAAGAACAATATAAAAAATTTCATAAGGATGAGAAACATAATGCCGTTTGGCATTAAATTTAGCAGTGCCCCTCTTGCGTTCTGTTGCCTTTTCTAATAAATTTCGATGACCAGTTCCAAACCTTGACTCCAATTTAGATGTCAGGACGATAGAGCCCAAAAAACAGGCCCAAATGACACCCGACTGACTTGAATTACAAGAAGTTGACTGATGGAGGTCGTCAGAATGAGACAATTGATGTCTCTGAGTTTTTCAGGCCTAAATTTATTGACGCACACGCTGGGGGACATGAAAAAGAATTTCATACCCTAGTGACATTTGAAGAAAATGATATCATTGTCTCTCCGACCCCGTAACATTTTCCCTATATAATGTTCAAATCCACCTTCATTCTGAGTCTTTTTTCCTGAAAGGGAAAACCTCCCTAACGGATGTGATGAGCAGAGGGTGAGCATTCACCCTCAAGGAATTCATGTCTAGACAATGGTAGAAAAGAATAGGGAAACACGAAGAAACAAGACAGAGAAAGCTAAGTCCCCTTTTCCTTTCTCGGCACGGAAAGAACGACTTTATTCAAGATGAGCTCTCTTCGCTGGGTATGGTCATGAATCAACTCGAATAATAGGATAATAGGACTCGAATAATAGGACTCTTTCTTTCGACTTTACGATGGACCAAGAGGCAAATGGCCTGCGGCTGTGAAGAATATGGAATATCCATTCTATATCTCTCCTAGCTAAAGCTTGGAATAGCTCCGAAATTCACCCTCTTAGACAAGGGACGAGTTTCTTGGTCGAGTTTCCCCTCCCTGTGTTTCATTGAGAATTTGAAGACAAACATATTTTCAAGTGGAAGGCACTCCCAATGGACTTGACCATGAAACTATTCAATAGTACAAAGTATGAAAACTCGTATTCCTGAAATCATTGAAAGTCAGGATGATTTAATATTGCAACAGTGATCAGGGTGTCCTCTGTACATGAATACAATAAAATAATTATCACTTCATCGGCTCGCCTGGTGAAGTTAGGGGGTAGGAGATTTGAACGGGTAATACGTAGGACTATTTCCGGGAGAAAGAGTAATATCGAATTGTTATTCTTAAAATGTATATATATATTTCTAAGTAAATAAAACAATTACTGCCGTTATTGAAGCACAGTGTTTTGTATTAGTCGACAAATTTGGAAGGGATAAATCACGAGAGGAACGAATCCAGGATAAGCATGAATAGTAAGTGCCATAGTGGGAAAGCATTCAATAGTACGAGATATTACATTGATAGACTGTAATTTACAGCAACAGGAAAAACAGGATGACGGGCGAAAGAGACAGAACCGCAGGCCATGGTGAGACCAGGGCAAGGAAGGAGAAGAAAATGGAGCTTCAGGTGGGGTGGTGGCATCATCACCCTCGGGGCCTGCCTTGCATTCTACTCTCTCAGAGCGGAATTCTTTACATTTTTCCTTCCCTATTGTCCTGCATTGCCTGTCTTGTAGGATGAATTTGTAGTTCTGAATTCGTCAATTTATTTACGAGGTCCATCTCTAAAGGGATGAAGAAAAGTGAAGGGAGAGAAAAGGAAAAGGGACCTATGGAATGAGTTATTGGTTTGGACAAGAAAGAAAAGAAGATGGAAGGTCTCTATCATAGTGGTTTAAGTGCTAAAATGAAGGGGGTTCATTCTCGGACTCAGGAAGGAAAATTAGAAACCGATGCTAATTGGTAACAATCAGCCACCTGAACTATGTCAACGTCAATGAAAAGGAGAAAACAGCTAGGTTGCAATGCCTAGGTTCGATCCAATATGCAGCATCAAAATACAATTAATTAGATTTATTGAGCCAGAATTCCGAATTTATTTTTTAACGCTGCCAATGTTCTCAGGCAAACGATAACAAAAAGGCTATGGTCCTTTTCAAGGGGGAAACATGGATAGGAAGGAGAAGTAAGGAGGGGATGGGCTTCCTTGACCTCACGCTCCACCCGACATCTATGAAACGCTTAGGCCCTAGCTCTTTTCTGAGGGAGGGTACTGCGCCGCCTTAAGAGCCGACCGGACAAACCCGACCATGAGCCGGTATCAGTCAACAATAAGCTAGTGTCGGTACAGTTGTGGCATATTTACGTGTCAACGAAAAGCCATTGATGTCCCTATATAAATTTAGACTGGGTTAGAGCCAATGCGAAAAAAACGCATTGATTGCCTCGGAAAAGTGCACTCCTTGTTATATCCACCCAGCTATATACCTGATCCCCTCCTATTTTTATGAAATTCGGTATACAAGTAGTGTCCACAGAGAAAATAAATCGCCCGTAGTTCCAGCTGCCTCGGTCAAGTATTTTGGAGGTACTCTGACTTGGCATTGCCAAAAAAAGTGCCGACTTCTCGTCCTCTCGTCATAATTCAACTTCTGATTAACGCAGAGAGAATAAATCAGTGTCATTTTCAAGCTCTCTTATTGCCCTTTAACTCTCCCAGGCCTATGTGGGGTATTTTTGATACACCTGTCGAAAGCATATCATTGTTACTGGTGTGGATATGAAAGATACATTTAATAAAAAATGGACAATAGTTAGGTAATACGTACATGCGATGTGGAACCTTTCGTTTCCCTATTCTCTGAAAAAACTGGGGTAGTTAGGATACCACGCACCGCTTCCGGAAGGTGCTGAATAGTACTAAGCCTGGAAGGGTAAATAAGACGCGTTTACTTCGTTGTACTTCATCCCATTCGACGGGCATCTTATCGCATACCAATCTTTACTTCACATTCATAGCTCTGAAGTATAGTTCGCTAGATGTTTTACATCTTTCACAGACTAAGTCCTTGAGACATCGACTGATGAATTGTCTTGAGTATTCGCAGAGGCAATGTCGACTAGGATGAAACGCAGTGAGCAAGAGTTGCTTTCGGCGACGAGTCGGGATTCGGTTCGATTTGAAGAAACCCAAATTGTGAATAGCTGTTTGTAACCACCTAAATCGGGCTTGCACCCAGTTGGAGAAGCAACCCAGGTTCAAAGGAAGCATACTCTCGTAATTTTGCAATTATTCTAGCATGTTATTATTGACACTCGAAGAGAAATCATTAATACATACATATTCTTTTAAAAGAATCGTTTGTACTTACTGAAAGTCAAGTTTAGCAACCCTTTCGAGGCGATTGAGCGGACAAATGAGTCGCATGGATTCGGCGATGCAGGCATCGAAAAGAGGCAATTTTGACAAGGTTTCGTGTCGGATCTCTCCGTCCGTTTCCTTGATGGCATCCAGGATCTCCATTCTCACTTGAGATTGGATATCTGGGTGGAGGGCGAAGTAGTAGGAGGTGGAACTCATTGCCGTTTTCACCGAGTCATAGCCGACAATGAAAAAAAAAATCAACTGCTCCCGAAGCAATTTTGGCGTTATTCCAATCTGCTTGTATTCTTCATTCCCTGTCAACTGCAGCAGAACACATAAATGAATACAACTATTTCCGTACTGACTTGGAAATTGTAAAAATATTTTATTATTGTATTTTCATGCGTTTTTTATCCTAATGCTCATTGAAAAGTTCCTGTAATTTTTGTTGCTACTTAACTGTTCTCTATATTTTGTTCTGGGAAGGAATATTCAAAACTCAGTGCAATATTCAATTGAGAAACGTAAGGAGTTTTACTCTTTAACGCATTGCTTTTTACTGAGCAATCAGTGTCACATGAGACTTTAACATGCAAACTATTATATTTTTGAAACAGCAGGCAGTACCTTCTCGATAGCCTGAAGGATTAGGTCTATGTAATCCTTCCTTGTACCAGCGTCCAGATTCTGTTTCCGAATGTCGATGATGTCCTTGATGGTGTTGACGAAGAAGTCATTCACATCCGGCGGGAACATGTCCACGTAACTCGCAATTTCTGGGAATGCCACTTTGAATAAAAACTCACTTCGTTAAACAAAATCGTTCAAGAAATATTCCCAACTAGTAAAAGTTCGTCAATTTTGAACTCACACGCGATTGTGATCAAAGGGTTGTTGAAACTCTCGGTGCAGAAGATGCGGTTTGCCATTTTCACGAATGGGTTCTCAGCATCTTCCATGGACGAAACCTCCAAGCCAAAGCCGTATGAGGCAAAAACGTCAAATGCGAAGCTGGAGAAATACCTACAGTTGAAATTTAGAGCATAAGACTCTCAATTGAAAGACACGCATGCGTGTTCAGCAGATGCTAATGGTTGTTTCATGATTCCAAATTGAATTCACCCTCTTCTTGGACTTCGACAATGCTGCCAAATGACGGATGAGGGAAAATATGGAGTGAAGGTAGAGAAAGCTCTATGATGCAGTTGATAGTATCTAATTTTCGCAATGCAAGTTACGGCAGAATTATTTATTATTGTTACTTTGTCCAGTTTATTCTTCATCTCAATGCGTGGAACGCTTTTACGAGGTGAGGGCCGTGAGAGGGTTGAAGTTAGGAAACTACCGAAACACTGGGTTTAACGAAGAGTCTCATGCAGGGTGGGATGCAGCAGTTATTCGACAAACCTGGAGAGATCAAGACCTTTCTTCCCCTCTTCCCCGTCACGCTTCAGCATCTTCGTCAAGTTCTTAGCGCATTCTAAGAACATGTCGACCGTATTTTTCATGCGACGTCCGGTGAATCCTGGCCCCAACAGAGATCTCACCGCTTTCCATTGCTCATCCTGACAGAAATTGAGAATCATGAGGGGGGGGGGGGATATATAAAATTGAATGCGGCAACCTCAAGAACGTTAGATACTCGATATGAAAGCAGTAGAAAAGAAAATTGTAAATGGTAATTGAAATGGAAAATAGTTCTCGTAATAACATAAATTAAGTGATAACTTATATGAATAAAATACAGCAATCAAATTAATGAGTGATTCAAGAAGTAAACTAAAATGTAATAGAAGAAACGAAAACATTACATAGGAATAGTTACATGCAACAAAGTGGGACAGTAAACCCATAAAGCGCAACACAGAGGGATATTGTGACATTCTCTGGGAAGTTACCATTTTATGCATAAGGTGTAACAAGACGTCGGATGGCACATGAAGAAAGACTGAAACCTGGAAGTTTACCTTTTTGTGCATTAAGCTAAAATTGCAAATTACAGGCTCACTTTCCCTCGCGGTTTTTTTCCATGCGCACACGCAGAATACAATAAAGGTGAGATCCCACACCATTAAGGGTATGGATACTCTTTTGGGGTGGTGTGTGTATCTGCCTCGGGGCTCCTGAAACCTTAAGCATCCCTGCTATAGAAGCATATAGCATTAAATCAACATTGATTCACCTTGGTTCACCGTTCGCATGTTGAATCAACATTGAATCAATGTTGTTCCAATGTTGCCTGCGAAGTGGATACTACAGGACGCGGGTGTGGTCTAATATAGATAAAGTATAGAATTTAAATGAACACATGAAGAAGGGCTTTGCCTGTAAGATGAATATGCAGTTCCGGAATATTTCCTGTTTGGCTTCGTAAAATCTCCGGTTGGAGAAGGATGAGAACTCCTTGACGGTGATCAATTTGATTAAGTCGGTGTCGGTCGTGAAGAGAACGGGACGGTGGCCTTCGTATTCTCCCCACATCCGGCCGAAGCGACGGCGGTGCTCCAAGTCCACCTCGTGCATCAGTTCTGCTCCAACAAGGTAAGATTACCAATAGCGGGGGACACGGGAGAAAAATTACCCCCGCGACAAGGAGTGTGGACAGGAACAAATTACTGGCAAGGTAGTGGCAGAGAAGGCAAAAAAAAAGCTGTACTTAGTTGGAATTTCGAACTTCAAAGGGATATTAATGGGATCTCAAAGTTCAACAAGTGAGGATGAAAAAATGGAGCGAACGTTTCCTCACGTATCACCTTCATGGCTCTATTCAGTTGAACGCCTTCACCTTTTTTAATATCGAACTATCGTAGCGAACACAGGACATAGCAAATGAATCTACACGAAGTAGAAAGCAGTCACACAACTGCTCCTACGACCAATCGTTGAAGAACTTAAATATGTGTCGAAGTAGCGGGCCTATATCTCTATTTAATCTTTCAGCTGCATTTGAAGAATTTATGTACGGATTTATTATTAGTACTCGTATACCACCTAACTTTCTTCGATCATGATTTTTAAAGGGACAGTCGCATCGTCTCATCGGTGAGTGTTTTACCACACTTTTGGACCATCTCTGAACCTAAACCATAGACCCCCAAACTTGAAACCACCTTTCAATTTTTGTGCAGCCGCCAGCAGTCAACTTCCTCGCCATCTTTTATCAAAGAAACGCAACACTCATAGTCTCAACAAATTCCATAAACAAGGCTTTAAAATGCCACAGGAAAGAAGTTTATATTGTTGGAACAAAAGTTATGACTTAAAAAAAAATAAGAAGTGACATTACAATCGCCCTATTTATTCGTGCCTCCAAGCATGAGTAGCATGCCTGTACACTCTGAAATTTTCCAATTTCAGGGATGCGGCATGATCGTAGTTCATGCAATGGACGTGAAATGGTTCTTCTGCATTGATTGTATCAACAATAATGCTGTGGAGCTGTGAAACGCTCAAACCGGTCTGAGTAAGGATTTTCATTGTTTCATTTTCCGTTTGACACCCAGAGATCACTTTGGGCTGCGAAAGCTAAACATGAATATTGGAAGCCTTAAGATTGATCTCGTTTATGTGAGGGAAGTCATTACCTGAAGCCTAGCCGATCCAATGAGACCCCTTTGGGGGCCGAGACAACATTGTCCCAATTGTAAGTGGTTGGCACTGATATAAATGCAGAACCTTCATGGTGTTAATTCATGTCATGGCTCTGAAGCTCTCCCAAAATAAATGCCCATATCAGATACCGATATGGGCGGAGATCTCATCCATCCTCCAGGGATGAAAGGGGACTCCAAGTGTAAAACGCAGGACGTTTTACACGTCTCTGCAGAAAAGTCCGTATCGGACATGTGAACACCCCATATGTATGGGGGGAGGGGGTGTACGTAGTATGCCTTTCTTTCATTCTCTAGGGTTTTAAAGAGGGCATGGAAAGGACAAGTTCGTTGTCCTTTGTTCAGTGGTGTAGAGGTGGCATGCTAGAACGGCTATTATGAGATACCGGTTTCGATTCCCGTCCTCTCCATGGTTTTCTTTCGTCTCTTTAGCTATCTGCACTATCCCCCCCCCCCCCCCACTCGTCTGGCTAATACGTTCGAAACGTAATGCTGGAAAAAAAAACGTGAGCCCCAGAGAAGGAGTCGTACATTCAGATGCAAGCAGAAGGCCCCGCATATGCGCACATGGACTTGACGACATGCAGACGCCAAAGCAAAATAGATTGCCGGATTATGATCTTGCATTTTTAAAATAAATATTTTCAACATCGCCTAAAGTTGACACTGGATTGGATCATCAGCATCAACATGAACAGCACGACTTCAGGAGGATTAATTTTACCCTTGCTTATATCCTCTACGCACTGCAAGAGATGCAACCGATCGTTGTTAACTCTGGTGGAGCATTTTGGAAATGAATAAGCAATATGTCCAACCTTTGTGGATGTTGGGCCGACTTCCGACGACTATCCATGGCTTCACCTCGGGGATCCCCTGCCTTGACCACGTGTCCCACGTACTGGTCAAATATTTGTACAGGAAGACGAGCGAAACGAGAAAAAGTACCCAGAAAACGGGGAACTCCACGCCCAGAACTTCCATTCTGTTTTCAATCTTTCTTCGACGGGTATCTTGAGGGAATCTTTGCGCACTGTACTTAATTCAAGGTTAAAAGTTTTGGGGAGTTATGAGGTACCTATCAAAAATCATTCCAAATGATATGCCACTTAATGATATCGGTGGGGCTCAAACTCCCAGAAGGTTATCTCGTTTTTGCAACGTTGGGACTGAATCTAAGGGGGCACAATTAATTAACTAAGCACAATTGACGTTCGTAAAGATCTCTCTTGGTCGGCGGTTAGACTAATAGCATCCGAGACGGGGATTAGGGCGAAAGACCGAACGGGGTTGAACCATTTATTTTCGCTCTTAGATAACCCGACCTGTTTGGAATGGGAACTCCTCGTATATGCGTGTCCGGGCTCGAGTTATGGGACATTTAATATGCACCAGTAATGTTCGAACTAGAGTGACGATTATCTGGAGTACACAGGAGCCAAATCGGATTTCCAAAGGTTAGAGGTTGCATGGGTTTTGGGCGAGGGTAAAGTGGGGTGGTTCTGAGATGAGAGGGTTATCTGGTATTCCAGAGATTAGGACACTCAAAATAGCCGAATTTTTTCTTAAGTCAAGTATCTTTCAAGTGTCTCGACTCGACAATCCTGAGAGAAAATCAAGAACAAGCAATCCCACTTCCGATGAACTATTTGGAGCGTCAGGACCGCACAGACCCAACGCAGACCCAATACTGATGGAGAATCGGGGGGATGCACCTGGGGATATCGAGTACACGATCGAGATGTTTGTAGGATTGCAGGATTCGTTCCTTTGCTTGGTCATTGCGTCTTGCTTTACCCCTGAGATGTCCGTTTTAACTTTTGCACACTCACGGCCCTCGAGTCAAAGATTCCTTGAGTGCTCTGACAAAGCTGCTCGACTACGTTGTGGTGAGAAAAGTATGAGTAGAAAGACATTTTTCAAGTACATAGGGAGTCATCCTATGAGGTAAAAAAAAAAATAGAATTGAATTTCGAGGTAAAAAATGATCCAATGCTGACACAAATAAATAGCCACATCTGATACAAGCCTCCACACACTCCTTTTCCTGCTGAATGTGTCAATAGAGTAACTGATTTTCGATGGTCCTAGCCACGAGAGTGGAACACATTGGTGAATTCTTCTTGGGCTGGTGACTCCGCATGACCCCTGCAAGGGACGCAAAGTGGAAAAATCAGGAAAGAAGAAGCGTCGATCGCTGTCCTTCCTCCAAAGACAATCCTCGATGCTCGAGTGGATTTCATGACTTTCCTTTAATCTCGTAATACCCAGTTTCGATAAGACCATATGCCATTCGCGCATTTCTGTTCAATGTAAAATTGGTTTTAAGTGCCATTATACTTTGTGTTTTTATGATATTTTCTGAATATATCAGAAGATGCGAACTCACAACTCGATGTGAAGCCACTTCAAATCAGTCTTGCATACAAGGCGAAACCGACCAAGATCTCCCCCATGTCTTTCAATGGAGAATATGTTATGCTTCATGCCTTTTTAGTCTCTCTAGATTCGCATTTCCATCGTGTCGATGAGTATCACGAGAGGTGGTACATATGATAAAGACATCTTACTCTTTCATATTTAGAAATATTTTCATTTATTCATGCCTTCAGGGACTATAGATGAAAAACCTTTATAGAGAATGTGATATCCGCAAAGTAAGTGAAATTTCATGACAAGAGATGCCCGACCACTCGACACAGACAGTCCCACAACTCCCAACAACGTAAAATACCTTCCTTCCACCCCCCTCCACCCTCCCCCCTACCCCCCTCCTTCCCTCCCTCCGTTCAGGCAGAGTGATTATCCCGTGAAATTACTTAATTTGCGATTCATTCTCCTCTCGAAATTCGAAAAATATCGGTTTTAAAACATCATGAGATAATAATTTCCCAAATGACGCTGCAATTAATAGATTCGATTATCGGCCGAAAACAACAAAGTAATCAAAACTACGCGATCGCCAGTCTTCCTCAAGGGCGATCCTCGATGTTTGTCCTTTCGAATTTATTTGACTTTCCGCGACCTTTACTATCGCGCAATCCAGTGTTCCAGTGCACTCCAATGTTCTCGGCTGCTTTTTCCTGCATTTATCGGAGAGAACTTGAAAGTGCACTTTCAAGATATTTCCCGGTTTCACCTTCGTGCTTTCAAGATATCTTCCAAATAGACGCCTGATCGAAGTGGATTCGCTTCAGAGGATTGGAAACTGTTGTACGGATTCGGGCCGACCCAAGCAGCATGTTTACGTAAACAATATATCAATTCTTTGCGAACAATGTAAAGATGTTGCGATTGCCATGAAAATGACATCACGTGTTTACGTAAAATTTACGTTCCTATATTTACGTCACCAAAGTGTACGTGTATTTTGCATAAACTAGACGTCACTCCATTTGAGGTGAAGTACATATCAAGTTTGTGCAAAATTAACGCCACACCATCCATATGAAACGTTAGCTGACCATCCAGCAGTTGCAATACCAAGAATCCTTTCTAGACGGAACCCCTGTTCCCTGCATCCTACAAATACTAATAATTACTGGCTTCCTGATAGAGTATCAGAATTTTCTTGCCATCCTTCCAATTTT